TTCTGAGAAACAGACAATTTTCTGCCCGAAAACACACCTGTTCCAGGTTATTCCAGACTCCCAGGCAAGGGCCGAACCTCTTTTGAAAGCTCAGATAACCCTAACCCGGCCGTGTCGACGTGATCCCCGTGACCGAGAGAGCGACCCTACACAGAGTATCCGACGGGGCTTCCTCCCAGGAAAGGGTCTTTAGGGTTACTCCGTCAGGGACATTTTCAACTGACACCCAGTCAGCGTCCCAGGCAGCTTACCCGGACGGAGGCCGCGGTCCCGTGCCGGCTTTCTGGCGAGTAAGTCGCCTCGACCGAAGGAGAAGGGCGCCCGAGCGCGCCGCGTCGGGCCGGGCCTCCGGGTCACCTTCGCCACCTTCCGTAGCCCGCGCGTGGTTCGGGCGCAGGCCTCCTGGGCCGCGTTTCCTGGCCAGCGCTTCTCCCTCCGGCCAAGGGAGCCTCTGCAGGGGGGGGGGGCCTGGGCCGAAAGGCGCGTGTGGTGCGCCCCGTCCCCTCCCGGCCGCCGCCGCCGCCTCCTCCCGGCGCTTCGGGGCGTCCCTTTCGCCCGGCCGGGGTGCCTCGCCTTTCTTTTCACGTCTTCATCCGAAAAGGGTCGGGGGAAGTGGCCCCCTCGTGGCCCTTCGGGGGCGCTTCGGGGCGTCCCTTTCGCCCGGCCGGGGTGCCTCGCCTTTCTTTTCACGTCTTCATCCGAAAAGGGTCGGGGGAAGTGGCCCCCTCGTGGCCCTTCGGGGGAAACAGGACGCCGCTTCTGCCCAAACAGAGGCGCTTTCCCAGGTTAAATGTGGGCAGCCTCTCTCCGCCGGGGTCCGCGCAGTTCTCCCCGGGCCCGAAAGCACCGGCCGGGCGGGCGGCGGCTATGCAAACCAGACTGGGCTTTTCGCCCCAGGCCGGGGTCCCCCCCCCCCTAGACGCCGCTTCTGCCCAAACAGAGGCGCTTTCCCAGGTTAAATGTGGGCAGCCTCTCTCCGCCAGGGTCCGCGCAGGTTTCCCCGGGCCCGAAAGCACCGGCCGGGCGGGCGGCGGCTTTGCAAAAAACTTGCTTGCGGGGAACTGGCCCACCGGACTCCTGTCGCCGGGGGCTGCGGGGCTGGGCAGTGAGGGAAGGGGACTTCCTCTGGGGGAAGCCTCCGGAGGAGGGGAGTCGGCCAAAGCGCTGGCCAAAGAAGAGGAGCAGTGGCGGGGCGCTC